CACTTAATTAACAGTATCGAAATCACGTATACGACACGTTATCACTCGTTAAATGCTGAATGCATAAAACTTTCACTTTAGGTTTTCAGCAAATTAAATACAGATTTTGCAGACATTTTGCGTAAAATACTATTTGTTCCATTTCAAATGGATATTACTTTTGGATACTGCGGATTAGCTTCAGCTCATAATGTTGCTTTAAGCTATTTTTTTTATATTCTCCTATAACTATAGCTAATTTCTAGCCAACTGTTGTTTGCTGAACTGTTCTCGATGCTCTATGAGCTCTCACTGAACTATTTGCCGTGTGAGAGGCTTCACATAAGTAGTCGATAGCTAGTTAGTAGAATCCCACAATGCTTATTATTAGTTGATAAGTTCAGTACAGCTGCGAGAGCAGCACACGCGATTGCAATTTACTCTTTATGAATGTTAAATAATTCAGAATATTTATCAGAGAAATTCATTCAATCATTATTAATTTGCTGGGGTAATGTCAAACGAGTTCCATAGTTCAATTCGGATATTATATTCAGCTCCCTTTACTATTTAGCATATTTCTTAACAGTTTCTAGGTTTTTATTACAAGTTGTTTACTAGGAACCTGTTAAGGTACACTTTTATTCCTCCATACAAAATTGTATTTTATAAATTAACTACTTATTTCATACATCTTTATATAATCTTGTAGATGTGCTGCTATATCATATATAGATTATACCCTTTCGACACACTTGCATCATGTCACGAGCTCAAAAATGAAGCAACTCTGAAAGCGAGCTCTAGAGGGAACGATGTTTTATATAATATGTGACAAATTCAATTTGTAAATATTTAAAAATGGTAATAAAAATCGTTTTATGAACAAATTAACATATTTCATTTAATTGTATTGACCAATCTTTGTATACTCAGCAAATATTTATAGAACATTGGAGCAATGTGACAACGTGATGTGGTTTGCATATCATTTACTAACAGATATCAATTTTGTTTTCATTTTTCGTATTAGCTAAGCGCATTGAAAATGTTATTAAAATATATATATAAAAGGCAAAAACTGAAATTAATAATATATAACTCAAATTTATTTATATAAATTTGAGTCTTTTAACTATAAAGAAATTCAAGAAAGATTTTTTTTTTTTTTTTTTTTGTATATCATATATTTGTTTTATTTTTTTTATAAAGTATATAAATGAAATATTGTAAGGAATATTAAAGTAATATATTTTGCCTGTTTTATGATTATGGTTATATTGGAAACTATTAAGTACAAGGAATTTTCTTTTTCAATATATTTAAATATTTCTTTTTTATTGGTGATTTCAAAATCGTAACTTTCAGAAAAATTAATAAAATAATTAAATTAATATTTTTGATTATTGATCTCATATCACCTTTTTTTTATCTACATTGTCATGCTACTTTCTTAAGTTTTATTTCCACTTATGCACAGTGTACTTAGTTTCATCTGCCACCTCTTCAACATAACGCATATTCTTAAACATTCGACCAAAGACAAGCTCGGGTGCATCCATGCCCCATAAGAAGTCCAAATGATTGAAGCTGGGAAGCTCCACCAGATATCTCTCAACCACATTGGGCAAAGCGAAATAGAGTCTGGTGACATCTTCGGGCTGGCCCAACAAATCATTTTGGCTATGATATAAGATCACCTGGGCCGTCACACTGCTCAAATTGTATTTCGGCGGTTTGAGGCTCGAATAACGCTTTCTATTCTGCAAAATGCCAAAGTCAAACTGTTGGAACTCATTCGATGATCTGAACTGAACATAGTGCAATATCTGTCTGCTAGAAGCGCCGGCTGGAGTATGCCCGAGCACCACTGGCATCATGGTTTCATTCGTTTGGGTCGGACTGTAGCCCGCAAATTGAAAGAGCACATTCTTGCAGATCTTCAGGCCAATCCGAGTGCCATCACATAATGCTCGTGAAAACATAGTCAGGAAGTCGTCGGATGGTAAGAATTCATCTGGACCCGTCATTCGCAGGAACTGAAGAAAATTAAATTGAGATCAAATTGCAAACAACACAATGTAAATTGACTTACAGTTGTGGTCAAGTCAGCTGCGCCTAGGACTACCAACGGCGGACTCTTGCAGTACTTGAAGAACACAATGGGAGCCAGGGCCTGCATAAGAAAGATCTTCTTCATATACTCGGGTCGTTCGCTGCCCAAAATGAAGAACGAAGTTGTGCCTTGAGAATGGCCAATGTAGTGCAGGCTCGTGCGGTTGGTCTCATGCAGCACATAGTCTATGCTGGCTGGCAGATCGAAGATGGCCAATTCATGGAATGAGAAATCCCAAAATTCTGACTGATTTTCATTGTATCTGACATGATTCTTGGAATATGTATTGCCACGTGCATTACCCATCCAGACATCGTAGCCCTGATCATAAAGTAAATAGCCTACATACAGATAGAGGGAGAGAGTGAGAGAAATAGAGAGAGAGCGATCGTTAGTATTTTTACCCAATCCATTTTTGGGGCCCATCAATACAAAAGCTGCTGAACTACACAATAGGCCATGCATTAAGAAAACAGGCCTGCCTCCGGGCCTTGGTATCCTATGCATTTCGAGTATATATCCATCATCAGTGTTAACGGTATGCTTTTCTGCCGGGTAGCCATATTTTTGAAGCAAACCGATCTGTGAGAATCACATTGGCATTAAAGGACTTGATGAGTGGTGATTAAACAAAAGAAAAATGTTTATGAATCCATAACATTACCGTGGATAGATTAGCATCATCTTCAACAGATTGAGAAACTGCAAAGGTAGCACCCAAACAGAGCAACAATAGTAGGACAATCCATTGAGCCATGTTGTGAACGCAATTGTGTCTAAAATATACAATATAAATATATGAGATTATATTCGTTTTTATTCTTAACGCAAATTTAAATATATATTAACCCATAGAAAACGGCCGTTCGGGGTTAATGTTTTTTGGGGTTATGAATATTAACCTAGAACCTTATCTTTTCAGGAGATAGAAGAAGACGTAGGGTATATATTTTCCTAAACAGCATGAGGATCTTCTCTCTCGCTCGCTTTCGCTTTCTCTCTCTCTTTCTATCTCTCTCCCTATTTTGCTTTTGTTAAAAATAGGCTGATTACGTTTCCAACGTGGCTGTTCCTGCAGTCCCACTTAGTCAAATTTGTTCCGTGAAGGGTATTGAGAAAATATCACTCTCATCCATTTAAGAATCCTTGGCTATATCCTTAAGGTATCTGAAGTATATTCCACTTTTTGCACTGGTATCCAAACATTTTACCTTTATCACTGCAGCTCAGGAACACTTCAAATTTTGTACTGCACTGAGCCAAATTTGTGAAAATCAAGCTCTTATATAGCAACTGCCCGATTCGATGCACTTAAAAAATAATACATTTTTATTATTCAAAATTTGAATTTCTCCATATTCATAAGACGATAAATTTTTGTTAATAGTGTACGGAAATATTATCAGTGCATTACATTTTGAGCTGCCTCTAAAGTCGTAATATATAAGACAGTGTACCTAGTTTTTAGCTTCTATTTGAACTTTAAACTTGGTCCCAATGGTATTGTTACTAACCAATATTTAAATAAATAAATAGAAATTATAAATGAATAATATAGCAAAAGTAAAAATAAAAGGAAAGTCGAAACCAAAATGTGTTTAAAATATATATTTAATGTTTTTTTTTTTATAATTTCTGGTCATTATAGATTTAAATATATTCTTGAATTTGTCTACAGTTTTAATGGAGTTAGCGATTTTTAAGGTACAACAAATTAAGTACAGAGAATCAATGTTTTGAATAATTATATACAGTAAAGTAGTGGAATAGAAAATTCCCCCTGACGAAAATTCATTGACTCGTAAAAATTGAAAACATTTTGGTCTTTACATTAATTTGTCATCTTTGCCGCATAAATAATATTTTACCTTAAAAAAAAGGTTAATTTTACAATATGCTGAATTTTATAGATTTTGTTTCAGCTTGTGTGTAGATTTTTGTTTCTAAAATTAAATGGAAATATTACATATTCCATTCTGCAGCTTCAGAAATATTTAACATTCCTATTCATTCGTATATAATATGGTATGCCTCGTTCAATAAAGATCTCGATTAACGGATTATTCTATGCATAGTGCGTTTCATGTTCTATGTGTCAATTTTAATAGATATTATTACGTATTTTCCATATGCACTGGTATACATTTCGTTGCCAATGTTGTGTAGTGATTTGTCAATCTTATCCTATATTACTTTTTGTCTCTTCTTTTACTCATTTCTTTTTATTTCTTATTCTTTGTTCTGTTCACTATTTCTTGCAATATTTGTAATTTTCCTTTTTCTGTAGTAATACTTTTATCTTAAGATTCATTATAATTTTAATTATATTAACTATATTTAAGCTCTGTTATTATCTAATTTTTAAGTTTCCCATTTTAACACTATATATTGTGTTTTATCAAATATATAAAACACTTACAACAAACACTTTTATAGTAAAAAATTAAGTGATTCAGAGTTATAGAATCTTAGGTCTCTTGAAGCAAATGTTAAGACTCTGTCAATAAGTTATAATATGATTGTTTAAAAGAAGCCCAAAATTATGCTATATTTCTAGATCGTCAGCTTAACGGTTGACAATCATATGGCAACACGCTAACTGATCGTTTCAAACTTTAATGGAAGTAAATATATAAGCAATAATGTATGTATGTATTTTAAATTTGTTATATACAAATTCTTTTATTAGAATTTATGTAATTTTGGTAACTACAGAGCTAACAGGTTAGCCAAATATTTTACCAACAGATCAGATAAATAGTGAGCTTCATAAAAATTGTATGACACTAACTCTAAGGCTGGGAATATTATGAATAGCTTTCCTATTTTTCTGAATACTACTGTATACAGATAGTTACTCACATACATATATATCAACATTTCTAAAACCAACAACAAATAAGTATTTACACAACTCAATTAATTACTATTTATTATAGCGTATAAAACTTGATAAGCTAAACTACTTCCCAGTTATTCTAATAATAGTAATAGCTTATTTGAATAAGACGTAGGTCGATTTACATTAAAAACTTGTCCCATTTTAAAGCTATACAAAACTAAATACTAATGTTTACACTAAGCTTTAATCGATTAATAAATATTTAATATATGTACAACAAATAATGGCCAATAGCAATTGTATTGGGCTCATACTGTAAGTATATATAGGACTTGTACTAAATCGATATTAATTTTAGTTCTTATACTAATCAATTTGTCGTATCTATATTATTATCTATTTCATTTGCGCGCATTTGCTTTAGCATAGAATCCCACAGCAGCTCACGGGCATCGACGCCCCAGATAAAGTCGAGATGATTGAACTCGGGATAGTCCACCAGATAATGATGGACCACATTGGGCAGCCGGCGACGCAGCGACTGCACATCCGCTGGCTGGGCTAGCCAATCGTTTTGGCTGTAGTACAGGGCCACCTTGGCCTTGACATTCTCCAGCTTGTATGCAGGTGGGGTGATGTTGTTGTAGCGCCAATGATTCCTCAGCCAGCCGTAGTCGAACTGCCGGAATTCACCGGATCTGCGCACCTGGCCAAAGTGCTGCATCTGCTTGGTGGAAGCGCCAGCCGGAGCATGGCCGACCACAACGGGCAACATTGTCTCATTCAGCTGCAGCTTGTCAAAGCCGGTGGTCAGGAAGATCACATTGGAGCAGATCTCTTTGGTTATGGTTGTCTCATCGCAGATCAGCTGATTGAACATCACAATGAACTCGTTTTTGGGCAAAAACTCATGAACACCAATCAGCCGGAGCACAAACTGTAACGAATGCGAAAAATCACTATAAGCAACCACAATGAGAATCGCGGAGAACAACTTACGCTCACCGACGTATGAAACTCGGCCAGGAAATTGACGACCGGACTCTTGCAGTGCTTTAAGTAGGCAACTGGCGCCAGAGCCTGCATAAAGAGAATCTTGTCCATGTACTCGGGTTTCTCGCTGCCCATGATCCAGAAGACAACGGTGCCCTGAGAGTGGCCGATGTAATGCAATTGCTTGAAGCTCGTCGTATCTAGTATATAATCGATTGTCTTGGGTATATCGTACACGCCCATTTCATGGAATGTGAAGTCCCAGTATTTGGCTTGCGAATGTGTGTACCTCACATGCTTCCTGGAATACGTATTGCCGCGCACATTGGCCATCCACACATCATAGCCCTGCTCATATAGCAAATAGCCTGAAGAACGCGATTGATTAGAACTGGGTATTCAGTATTATACAGCATAATATATACCTAGACCCTTGTTGGGACCCATCATCACCCAGGTGGCTGAGCTATCCAAAAGTCCATGAACTAGCAGAACTGGCGTTGCTCCATGGCGGGCAATGCGATGCAGTGTTAAAATATAACCATCATCAGTTGTCACACTGTGATTCTCAGCGGGATAGCCATATTTCTTAATAAGATTATACTGTAAGGTGAGCGAAAGGTAGTGGATAAATTAATTTTAAAACTTCAACTTCAATTTTTATTTACTCAAATAAAAATTATAAATATTAAAAAAAAAAAATTCTTTTTAATTTATTACCGAATTTCTTTAATTCCTAAATTTGGAAATTTTGGTTTTAATATAATATTAAAATATGATTTTTAAAAGGTTCAGATGAAAGAAAAGTAGTTTATAATTTTTTTTAATTAACATATTTAAAATTAATAAAATTTAATATTTCATTAACTATATTAATTTTATTGTGAATTTCATAAAAAAAAATAATAATAAAAAACAAAAACAAGTATTCAAAAGCAATATAATATAAAATTCTGATCCATTTCCCCATTTTCTTAAGTTCCCAATTGGTAGTAATATCTTCGACATACATATATTTTTAAACTTCGAATGAGAGAGATGAACAAACGAACGGACAGCAAAATGGACATTGCAGAACACCAATATACTCATTTCACTTTGGTGAGTGAGCATACAAGTGTGCAAATAAAGTAATAAATTTAAATTGCTGTTAAGCGTGAATATCATCAGTTATGCACGGTTTATTATCTACATTACTTTGACTAATTAATGATAATTAAATAACCCGACAATCAACTTTAATCCATTAACTGTGAGCTGAGTGAAAACATAAAAAAAAGTAAATCTACTTCAAAACATTTTAATTTTTATAATAAGATCATATTGAATTATTTTTACAGACATTTTAATACCCTTTGCTATTGTTGGTTTTTCACAATATTATTTTTTTATTATTATTATTTTTTTTTTTTATTGTGTTGGCATTTCCACTTACCGTACTCAAATGCGAATCTTCTTGTATGTTGGGGTCCACATCGCTATCAATTTTCACATTACTGTTTACAGTTATGGAGCGCCCCAGCAGTTTTGGCGTCTTGAAGTTCAAATTGAATAGCGAAATATTTCCAAAGATAAATGATAAATCCGCTTGGCTCTCCGGAGGAGCCAGACACAGGCACACGACAAATAGCACAAACGGCTTTAATAACATTTTTTCTGTATATAAATATATAGGAAGTATAGCTAATATATATTAACGATTTCTAGTGCTGTGATCGCTGCGAGGCACAAAAGACGACTGTCGATGCCAATGAAACTTTCGTCGCGTTGAAATGGAAACTGTGAAATAAATGCGATTATGTCGATAACTAAGTATATTTATAAATGTGTGCGAGTGTTTGTTTTTCTGGTGTGAGCGTGTGTGTGTGTGTGTACTAATTTCAATTGATTCACGGCAAACGTACAACAATAGCAACAACAACAAAACAATAATAAAAACCAACCAAATATTGGTCAAGTTCGATGATAACCCGCGGCTTCGTCAGCCACTGATAGACAAACAAGTCCGGCTTCAGATTAGAGTTGCCTTCAATTCAGAGCATCCAGAATGCTATATATATATATGTGCATGTATAAAGATGCCGTGGAAGTCTTGACTTTGACTTGGGCCAACGCCAGCGACTTGTGGAAATGTGGACAGCGAATTTCAGCTGAACTCTTGAGCTCTGCATTCAACCGCTTGTAAATGTCAACTGCGTCATTCACTGCCGCGAGTGGGAGCCGCTGCTATGAGGTTGCCAGGCCAATTGCTCGGGCGGGCGAGTAGCAGCAGCATATATAAATATGAATATGAATAATACAAACATACTTCCCCCTTAGCTACCTCTTTGTACACAACACAACAACAAATAAATCACAAAATAAAAGAAAAATATGTTGACTTTACTTTTTCGAATATTTGATGCGATTCGTTCCGTCGACTATTTGTGACTGAATCGTGTTTGGCTTGCCTCCGTTGCCTTGATTTGAACTTTGTCGTAGCAGTTACTATATTAATTACAAGTTTGCGACCCACACACTTTGTATCTGCCCAACCAGACCCAAAAAAAAAAAAAAAAAAAAACAAGACACAAAACTCATCTCTGAACTTCACAGCAAACTCGTATATCTCGTCTCTAAATGATTGTTTAGTTTTACCTTTAACTTTTTTTTTTTTTTTACTTGTATACCTAATTAGCATATCGAATACAACGTCATAGCTATGACGTTTCTATGTATGTTGTATATCTCGAAACCAGTTTACATATCTGACCCAATAAGCGAATTATTTGACTGACCATAAGGCAATATTTTAGTTTTATTTTTATTTTAAGTTCGCGTCTGCTGTGAAAGCAAAGTCCATATCTAACAACACTTGTATAATTTATAATTATTATTATACCCTGAACCAATTTTCAATGGGAAAGCAGGGTATAATGGTTTTGTTGAAATGTATGTAACAGGCGTGTGTGTGCCTGTGTGCGTTTGTGTGTGTGTGCGTGTGTCTTGTGTAAGTAGAAAGAGGCGAAAAATTATTGAAATAGCTATTGCTCGAAGGGTTCAGGGGATCTCGTAGTCGAGCAGTCTCGACTAGAGCTCTCTTACTTGTTAGTAATTGTTGTTGACTTCTGAATGCGCCACAAATACTATACAATATTTAATTACAATGAATTTTTATTTAAGTTTTATGGTATTTTCACACCCTAAGCGCAGAGGTTAAACAGGGTATGCTGAAATTGTTGCAAATGTATGTAGCTAGCCGAAGAAAAGATGAGGACTGATCCCTTATGGTATACACATATATTCTTGATCAGGAACAACCGACGAGTCGATCTAACCATGCCTCTGTGTGTGTGTGTTTTTTTTTTAATTGCAAAATTGTTTTCGAAAAACCTTTTAAAGGGCGCTTCATAAGTTCGCAGCCTATTCTAGTGTTAAACTACTTATGGTAGTGCTATTACTTATAAACATTTACTTACTGGCCAACATTATTAATTATTAATTACTTAATGACTGCCTGACTGATTGTCTGTTAGATTGATCAAGTAATTGATGATTGACTGATTCCCATACAGATTGAAACGGTAGATTACTGATTGACTGCTGATTATCTATGATATTGATAGATTGAATGCTGATTTAATGATTCACCGACTAACTTATAGAATATTTGCTAATTAACAGACTGTCTACTGAATAAAAGACTAATTGCTGATTGACTGTATAGATGACTAACTGTCTTTATGATTAACAAATTGATTGATTTATTGAGCGACCTACGAACTTACAAATCACTTAATTGATAAACGTATATATTTAATTCTAATCACATGCAATACGCATTAAATTAGTTATCGGATTACCCACTGACTAATATAAGATGATTGACTGATTGGTCATTGAACGAAGAAGGTTGAGTATCAGAAATTTTCAGTAAAGTCTTCTTTTCAAATAAAACACAAATTGAAAGTTGAAAGCAAAAGATAGTGAATTTAAATTTCAGACATTCTCTACATTTTTATACATTTTAAAAAAAAACATTTCTGATAACTACAAACAATGATAATTTCGCATATAAACTTACACTAACTACAATTTGCTTAATAAACCAACAGAGCGAATGAAAACAAACAAATACTGATAAAGTGTGAATCATTTTAATAGATATGGCATATGAGTTAGTGAAAAACAATTGAATTTTATATTAGGCCTGGTCAAAGTGCAATTAAATATTTCATTTAAGCACAATGTTTAGGCGATTATAGTTTTTTTTTTTTTTCAACTATAATAATAACAGTAACAAATAATCAGATGACCCGCTTTGAGGACTATTCAGAAACGATACAAAATTAAAATTAGACTACAGCTATTTACAGAACTCAGCAAACACACACACACACACACACACACACAGAGACTTAACAAACAGCGAATGGAATGGAATGGAACTGTTTGACGAGTTCAATGAGTAAATTATGTGAACTCTAATAATACATTGCTGAATGCCTGCTTATCAGAGTGTGCACACTCGCATGCTACACAGAGCTGAATGCTATTGAATAACGAATTATGGCTTATTTTGCATTAATGCAGCAAACATTTACAGCTGACTCAGCTACAGCGAACTCACAAAGCACACGAATGCAAGGCATAAGTATAGATATATTATGTACATATACATACATATATATTAATTTAATTATATATGTATATACATAGATATACTCGACATTGTTCAGTTCATTAATTCAAGCAGCTCATCAATTTATGCATGTTATTGCTGTGCTTGTTATGATTATAGCTTCTAAAGCCTGGCTTCTCTGATAGCGGCTTATCAATGCTCAGCCGCGCTGTCAACATTTGTTGCTAACGCTAAATTGTTGCGTTGATATGCAATAAATGCAACAATGATTTAAATATATTGTACCCAAAGTCCTTATTTTTTAATATATAATAAATTACACGTTTTATGTTTGACAAGCTTCCTAAACGGTCACTCAGCATGTTGCCAAGCTAAACATTTCATAAGTCTTAAACCGCACGTTTGATAGCAAAATATCATTGTTTTCAATCCATTGATTGTGCTTTTTATATTATTTACTTTGTGGTTGAGCATTTGAAAATTGCAAATAGCCAAATGACTCGAACCAAATCAAAGCGCTGCAAAAGCCACTCGATTTCATGACATTTTGCATTTTTAATTTGACCCAGGGGATTGACAGCAGCCGCCACCGCAAGCCACAAACAATTGCTGGCAACTGGGGCCCATGAAGGGAGCCCCTTCCCATGCCACACCCATGCCATGTGCACGCCCATGGCGATATGTCGACCCAACAAACAAATGGCAACTGACAAAATGCTTACGAGAAATTGACTTAGTTACAAAGTTTTTGCTCCTTTTTTGTGTTGACTATGCAAAGAGTTGAGAGCTGAGTTAAGAGACTTGATAAAATATCCTGAAGTAAGACTTTACAGAAAAAAAATGTATATTGACTAAAACTCTTGGCATTTTATTTCGCAATGAAAGTTTCAGAAATTAACTTAAACTGTGCGTTTTATCAAAGTACACACAAAAATAAATGAAATCCTGTTGACCTAGTTTAAGTTGATTCTAAACTTTACATTCCTAATGGCTCACAAAAACAAAGAGACATTTTTTCTACCTTGGCAAAGCTTTCAAATTGGTAAGGAAATTTAGTTGTCTTTCAAAATTGTTAGGAAATAAGTCTAGTGACTTAGTAAATATAGAAATGATATTATTATAATAATTATGAGTATAGACTAAGTAAATGAATACTTGACAATAGCGCAATAATTTATAATAGTTAGTATAATATATTTTATTAGTATTTACTTTAAGCATATTTATAAGAATCAAATATATTAAATATAATATTTCTTTTAAATATACATATTTCAAATAAATTTTTTTATATATAAAAAACTAATAAGAATATTATTATCTGCGTAGTACCAAATGCTTTGGTTGGATAGAAAATTCGAACCCTCCAACATTACCTTGAGGAACCCACAAATGTTTATCTGTATTTTTTAATGATATCTAGGAAATTCTATTATGAAATGGATTTACTCAACAATAGGAGCTGGCGCAGTTGTCAGATAATCGATTGAACCCTTCAGCACTGGCAACATCTGCGCCTATTTATACAAATAATTAACTGTCAACTGCAGAAGCCGAAAAAAATGCTAGGCAGGCAACACAAACGCGTGCACATACACGCACACACACCTTGGATTCCCTACGTACATACAATTATAGGCAATTTTTACTGTCGCTACGAGGAATGTGAAAAGTGAAAAATGAAAAATATAAATAAAATGTTACTGAAGGGGGCTGTACAAAAATGTGCGAGAAAAATGATTTTTGCACGCCTCGACGACATTGGCAGCGGGACAAGCGGAACGGGTGCCCTGGGAGGGCGGCGGGATAACGATATGACGACTCCAGCTGCCAGTGTCATTAACTCGACAAACCGCTCGACGGCAGCGCACTGCGAGTTATGCGTATAAGTGGAGCGGAAGTGCACACACCAAGGGGTCGAGGGGGTTATGAAGGAGCAACCACTCAAAAATAAAAAAAGAAATAAAAATAACAAGAGTGGAAGCGCACAAAGGTAACGACTCAATGATACCATGTAGCGGAGCGCTTCGGCCTGCACCCTCTGAGATCAACAAGAGTGAACCTGTGATAGGCCAAGCTTACAGATGAGCAGGCCGGCGATTATCTCAACTGATACGGGCATAAAATGTTTACATATATATACATATATGTAGTCATAAAAACATTTACAGCAAACCATTATACTCCAGTTAAACAAATTCTTGATGGATACAGGGTACAAAAAGCGATGTTAAGGTATTCGTTATGTCAACAAGCAACAATGAGTGACAGAAATATAGAGCACTAGCAGCCGAGAGCAGCGGGCGGGCAGCTGGAGGTACCGTTATGCGCATTACATCACTCATTTTGAGTTGTTTCTTTTTGCGCGTTTGTATTTGTAATTGCAGGAGTCATAAGTCGCCTAACGACAAAGTTACCGCTACATTCACCGCCAGCCGCTCATCGCTCTCTCACCTCTTCACGCTGTTCGCGTTCCGTTGTTAATGAAGTGCAGCTGCTGCCACCCACTCTCACTCTCGTTCTCTCTCCCTGGCTCTCTCTCGCTGTCTCACTCATCCTTTGCCAAACTGCAGTCAAACAACAAA